TCTCAGTGGTAGCAGATGACAGAACAAGGAGTAATGGTCTCAAGTTGCAGTGGGGGAGGTTTAGGTTGGATATTAGGAAAAGCTTTTTCACTTGGAGGGTGATGAAGCACTGGAATGGGATACCTAGGGAGGTGGTGGAATCTCCTTCCTCAGAGGTTTTTAAGGTCAGGCATGACAAAGTCCTGGCTGGGATGATTTAGTTGGGGTTTGGTCCTGCTTTGAGCAGGGAGTTGGACTAGATGATCTCCTGAGGTCCCTTCCAACCCTGATATTCTATGATTCTATGACTTCTTTGAAGCCTAAGCACCTAAATATGCTTCTGTCTCACCAAACACAAAGCTTGTAACCCTCTCTGAGAACCACATGTGAAACTTCCCAGAAATCCTAAACTTCAGCAGCACAGTCTTTGTAGCACCCATGCTCATCACTGATGAAATACAAGTCTCACTAAAGTTTCAAACAAATTATTTTCAGCTGTGCTGGAGTTATCTGAGCATGAAACCCCACCCCCCACCACCACCTTTTAATATATTTCATGAAAACTAAAGAAATTCCAAACCAAAAATCTTCATTAAAATAGATCCATATGTTTGAAGGCCAGGAGGGACCTGCAAGGGGAACCCAATCAAATTTTATCCAGTAATTCCTGCAGTGGAGAGATTTTTACCTAACACATAAGTTGGTCCCAATAACTTGTGGTTGAATTCCTTTTTGAAAGAAATGCATACTTGATATAAAGACCTCAAATTATGATAAATTTGTCAGTTAGAAGTAACAATTCGGAACATATTTCCCTTTAAAATATTGTTAATGATGTTGTAGTTAGGGTTTTGAAACTAAGTGCTAGAAACCAAGGTGATCCATTTGGGGTTCTTATATCTACCATGAACTCTGCTCTCACATCCCACTCACCCATCACCTTTAAACCAGAGACACACCTACCCATTTCCCCTATGATCAGACTTGATCTACATTTTCCATATCAATGAATTAAATAGCCACAACATCTGTAGTTGTTTAAGGAATGCAGGATAGCTTCCCAAATCATCATTTTTAAAGTGGCAAAGCAGTTCTACACTGTTCTTAAGATTTCATATTTATTTATTTTCATTTTAACACAACTAGTTGTGTTTAAAATACTAGTTTGCTCATCTTGGTGTTAATAAACATTCTTAAAGGTGCATTAAGGCCTTAATTCTACTCTTTTGGAGGAGAATTCCTGATTGCAGAGGAATAACACCAGATTTACAATAGTTTAAATGAGAATACAAGTTGACATTTGATGGGAAAGAAAAAGCCTCCGATAATTATCTACAAGTATCCAGGCTTGATCCCATTTTGGATTTTTTTTTTAAAACAACGAACACAAAGATTTAATAAAAATCAGCTTTATTTTTTGCTGATTGTTTCATACTAGATCTATTGTATAGAAATCTCAGCAGGTCTATAGCACCAGAGAATACTTTTCTGTTAAAAATGTACTTTGAACAGTTGCTGTCTCTGAGAGATGGTGTAAGGATGTGCTAAACCCTGCTCATGAGTGGAAAAGTTGGTATCAGGTTGACATGTTCATATGGAAGTGAGCAGTAAAGTGTGTCAAAATTGCGTATATAAGAGACAAGGTGAGGAAATATATTTTATTGGACCAGCTTCTGTTGGTGAGACAAGCTTTGGAGCGCCACAGAGTTCTTCTTCAGCAGAGTGTACATACCAATGTAAAACGTAAGGAGTTACTACATCCTGGTAACTTGTATTCAGATACACCGAGGAATAAAGAGTCCAGTCCAGAGTGCACTCAAAAACCTAAACAAAAAACCTCCAGGCAAAACAATAGTAGTATGCCCACAGAGTGTAACTAGACTACGCTCTCTCTTTCTCACTCTCTAAACGTCCATTAGCCCCTAGAAAGAAAAGAATAAAGTTACTCTCCCTCCCTTTGAAACCTCTACCTGCTTTTCTCACTGTTCTTCAGAGGAGTACCTTGAAGTAAACTATCACCAGCTCGCCAGGACTATAAGCCCAGCATTGGAAGCTACTTGTTCTGTCTCTCTCGAGTTATGCCGATATGTAGATTCCTATACAGAGAGAGCATGAATGAATTTCCTCGCTCTCCGGTTTATTTCAAGCGCAGTTTCAAAGTCAATGAAATATGGGAGCGGAAGAAGGACAATTGTGCCCCAAATTCCTTTGATCAGAATAGAGAAGGGACAGACCCTGCCAAGATTGCTCAGCTACAAGGGATGATGCAGACTTTATAGATCCGATTTTTTCTTTCCCAGCATGGATTGCTTTAAAATAGAGGTACGTCCGTGGTGAGTGTGCCAATGTGTGTCACGGCATCAGAGCCCACTTACAGACACGGCTTGCTGGGCACAGAAAACGACCGATTATTCCTCACTAAAAGAAATCCCCTCTCCCTGGTGCCTATGATGCTCTGTCACACAATGTGGCATGGGAAGGATTTCACTCTAGAGAGAGTTCAGACGATGTGAGTCGGAGTTATGTCTTCCCTCCGCATTTAACGATAGAAATAATAAGAAAAAGTAACAACACTGTGCATTGACAGACCCCAAACAACGTTAGTTCTACGAGCAAATCTGCTGCTGGAACATAATAGACCGTAGCCAACTCTTTGGTGTATCATGGATTGTTTTTAATGTGCAGGGCGTCATCACCCATTCACAGACACGAGGGCTGATCCTGCTGATTACTGGCGATCTTGTCCCTAAGAGCTGTAAGTACATGGGCCTACCAGCGCAATTTTAGCATGGTCTTGGTGAAATTGTAGATTGCCGATCTCTCTGAAGCAAAGCAGCAAAAGCTGCAGGACAGTCTCTCCCCAGCTTTTCCATTGTGTCTTATTGTTATTGATGGTTGTTGTTTTACAGGTTTAAAATAGTCATCACTGACCGGAGATACCTTCTTGGCAAAAAGTGTCAATCAGAAATTCTGCTCAGCCCTCCCCTAGTCGCTATTTCAACACTTTTCAATCCCCCCAGTGGCACTGGGAAGATGTTCTTAGCCAAATACATGATTCGATTAATGAGCACTTCTGTGTGCTAAGGAATGCAAATTCTGTCTCTCCCTGTATTATTAGCTGTATCAGAGTGTTTGTCCTTTCAGACCTCTTTGAAGTTGATGAAGGGAAGGCTGTGAGCTGGCACTGAAGGGGTGGGTGGGGGGGAAACTTCTGATTCCTCGGGTTTTTTATTTGTTCTCTTGCCAAAAACGCCAAAGGTAGCTAAAGTTACAGAAATTATTTTAAAATGTGTGTGTTTGTTTGTTTTCAAATGCGACAGATCCCCCCCCCCCCCAGTCCTCCCTTGTAATAATAATGGGATCTGATGAGCAGTCTGCTTTGAAATTATTTTACAGAATAAACACTCCCATGCCCTAAAGAATCTGTTACTGTTTGGAAGGCGTATAGGAAGTACATTCAGTTGCCCATCCCAAACATGTGAAGACTTATTTTTTATTGCTTCAAGGTATACATTGATTTCCCCCTTCTTCTCCTCTCTCCCCCTCCCCCAAGTCCTCCCCACCCACACTGGTCAGAGTATGTAGAGTATGGAAGGCACTCTATATCACTTGTAAGTTACCTAAAAGGTTTAATCGAAGCAGCAACTGGATATTGGCATTTTAAGGCATGTACCCAAATATCAATTTCAGTGTCAGGTTTTTAATGGGAGGCATTTTGATTCGAGATGTATTTTTGAAGTTTGCAAACCGCTCTGAACTTCTTACGAACGCTGAGATCTTGCATTTATCAGGGGTGGTGTTAGGTGATCACTTTAGGGAGCTTTTGATGATGAAGCTGAGAACTAGGTAAGTTAGTTCAGGGAGCAATGGAAACCATCTGCAGTGGTATGGACGGTGGCAGGTTGCCCTTGTTCTATGTTGTTTGTGGACTCCGCTGGTTGTACCGATTGGCTGTAAACTCTAGGGCGATTTTGTGTTTATAGCATCGGAAATTCAAGCAGTTGTGCAAACCTCAGAGGAAGGAGATCAAGATAGATCTTTGCACCACACAGTGCGTTGGATGCAACACAACTTGGCTTTAAAATGTACCACAATGCCACGAACATGTTTCTATGAAATGTCATTGCTTTCATTATAATTCTCAGACATCTTATTTGCCTTTTAGGTACGTTTTCCAGTGTGCATTCGCCGTCACTAGGGGAGATTTATTGCTTCGATTGGTTTAGCTATTCCACCTGCACTTCCCATCGCAGTACTGCTGTTACCTAGGGATGCTCTAACATTCACTCTCCCCTGGTGACATTACAAAGGAAATAAAATTGCACACCCAACTTTAAAGACAAACATAAATGGACAGTATTAGGACCCTTTCTGAGTGTGATGACTCAAGTGAAGTTTTTATTCCAGATAAGACCCCAGCGTCAGTTAAACTTTTGGCGTGTATCGCTTTTCCTCTTGAAAGGTGTTAAAACAGCAATTCAATTACAGTAAATAGTGTACATCATCTTCACAGCTGGAAAATTCTGTAACTAACTGTGACCAAACGTTGTAAAGGAATATAGCTTAACCAGTATTACTTTTTTTTTTTTTTTTTTTTGGCTGACCACAGGTTAATTAATTTCAAGGAGCTTAGTATATCTAAACAGGAACATACTGAGATGCTGGCAAGAAGTCATAGAATATAAAACGTGGAATTAGAAAGATCATATGAAATCTACATAGCAATATTTTTGCCTGGGAATAATTCTTACATTTTTCCCACCCTAAAGTATAATAATAATAAAATAATAATTAGTAGTAGTACTAATAGAAATAATAATAATTAATAGCAAATAGGGTAAATCCAGTCCTCTCATATATATAGTCTGTGTCTATATGACACACACCAGAGATATACATAGCATGTATCCATTGACATATACATACATATGCATATTCCAATATATACATACATATATGACGCTACCTTGAACAATATATACAACATAGACCACACGATTTTTATTCAACATCCATTGATACCCCAGCATTAACGGCATCCAGCAAATGTGAAGAATCGCGGAATCAGTACTGTAAGTTGTACACAGAGAAACGATTGCTTCTGAGTGCAGTCCTAAATCATACATGTAAAAAGCTCAAGGAAAACTCCCAATAACTCAGACACCTTTATCATTTCAATTAATGGTAATATTAATATTAGCTGCCGTCTCTAGTTGCACTTGAGAAGATTTAAGGAGGATTTAATTTACTTGAGGGTATATGAAAAAAGCATTATAAACCCTTGGAGGTGTTTTTTTAGTGCAACAAATGTATCTGTGGGTTTTTTGTAACCCCGTCAGTTTATAGAAACACTATATTGCCCGATCTTCCAAATTTGCACAGCCAAAACTTTCCTTAGGAGTAGAATAACTTGTTTGACTCCACTGCAGTCACTGAGGATTTACTCTGATGTAAATGACAGCAGAAGTAAGACTTCAGGGGGAGCTTTGGGAGCCTAAGCGATAGGGCCTTAAGGTTTGAGTCCACGGTCAGCAAAAGAACTTGTAACGGGGAATACTGACCACCCTCTACTAAGTACCCTTAGGTCGGTCATTGGCTATGTGCATGGACCATTGCAGAGGGGGCAGGTTACACCTGTAGGAATCCACAGGATGCTTGCTGGGAGCAGAGTCAAGAAGGGGCTCTTAAGCATTTATTCTGTGTTTCTAATCTGAAAATCATCCGAAAACATTCAGCATCAAAGACCAGCCTTCTTATTATTATTATTATGAGTTATTATTAATTATTAGTATTGCTTTTACATATAACGTGATGGGAGCAGGATGGTCAGCAATTCCAACTGGTAGAAGAGCAGCAGTGAAGAGGAAATCCCGGACTGGGATATTAACAACAATAAAAACAATAAATAAAAAGCTAGGGGTAGATCCAGACGTATTTTCTGACCAAGGAAAGCAGAATCGGGCCCCTTGCTCTTATCATTGACTTGGACTGTAGCTGCTCATGGGAATCAATTTCTTTACAAATCTATTAGCGAGATGATTTTGACTTCTTGGTTGTCGTTTTTGTTTTTAATGGTAGCATAATTTGTAAACCTTGTTGATCAAAACATCTATATCTAAACAATAAAAAAAAAATCCTGGTTTCGCAGATAACACAAGTTTAAAACCTCAGCTGCCCTTTTGCAAGTGATAAAAGGAGAATATTTAAAAAAAGAAAGAAAAACAAACTCTTTGAGTCCCATCTTCCATATCGCCATTAAAAAACCTGAAGGAGGGATAAAACAATAACAAAGTAAATACACCAACCAAGATTCTGTTAAAGAGACAGTTGTGTGTTCAATATTTCATTTTAAAATAGTCCCAGATATTCCCCAGTGCATCGTAAAAATGTGAGCATTAAACTTTCTCGTAATTTATTTGTCAGGAAGCAGAATTATTTGCGTTTTGGAAAGTTCGTTTTGATTATTTTTTGTTTGCGTCTCGGATTTCTGATTGCATATTAACTTCCCTTTCTATTTTAACCCAGAGCTCCAAACCTGTTATTTCCTTTTATTTCAGTTTGACTTGATTGTTTCATAGACAACGATTTTACAGAGAGGCGCACAATCACCCACATATATATGAAACTTGTATAGACTATTTATATCTATCTAAAACTTAAAGAAACTTTTGTGATTTATCCCCCAAAATATAGTTTTGTTCAGTTAAAAAACTTCAGGAAACAAGAAAGTGAGATAAAGCCTGAAATTAATTTTTGTGACCAAAATTACACTTTATTTTTTCCTCCAGCAAGGGAATTTCGTTCCTCCAAACCTGTCTTCTTATATTTTTCCTGCAGAACCCAAAATACTCTCAATATTACTAGTTTCTTTCTCCTTCGTTATTCCATCCTGTTCTTTCTTCTCAACTTAGAAAGGTGTTCCCGAAGAATTTAACCTAATTATTGATACAATATCTTGAAAACTCTGACATATCTGAACGAAAATGTAGGCATAACCCCCCCTCCTCCCAAAATACAAATCTTCCTTATATTGTCTAATCTTTTGAAGAACGGGTTTCTGAAATTCTGGTAAGGGAACTCATCACTGAAGATTTGTATTATTTTCTTGAAAGTCCTTCAGATGCTTAATATCTTAAATACAATTTCTGTAAAATTATGTTTGTGTCATTGGCATAAATATTCACACCAAAAGACAATGCACATCAAACACGTCTTTCAAAAGTTTTTTTTAATGTTTGTTTTGGGGTTTTTTTTTGCAAGTTGTGTGTTCGATTTTATTTTTCTTCTTAAAATGTCAATCCTCATTTAGGAAAGGTGAGATCTGTAGATAATTATGGGTTATTTGTTAATTATCTAGTTACTTTTGATGGTAAAAAAATACACACATTTTCTATTGTGTTAATTACTAGGATGTCATTCTACTGAAGGTATCTTTGTCAATTGCAAGGAGCGGAAGGGGCGTGGGGAGGGAGGGAGAAGAGCGAGATTGGAAAGCTTTTTAAAAATAAAATCTTAATAGGTTTTCTAATGGTAATTTAAGAAATTAAAACCTTACCATGTTACATATTTTGCCTGAGATCGTTTCTCCTCTCAGAGGGACCTGGCATTTATTTATTTCTGGAGATTTTTTTTTTAATACATCGTTTTCTCTACAGTTTGGTCCAAATCTTTTTTGTTCATCCTTCTTTATACAAGCAACCATCTTTTCTTTTAATAATTGTTTCCATCCCGTAAAACTGTTAAAACTAAATGTATTCTATTTTCTTGCCTTTTTCTCACCTAAGAAAGAACATCCAACTACAAAAGCGAATCAGCTAAATAAATAAATAAACAAAAATCAAGCAGGGAGGCGGAACACAACGTATTTTATGCTATTTCTTAATTTTTATTGCTTACGTAAAACCTAACGGATCCTAATGTGCAACTGAGATAACCTGGACATAATTCGAGCTCTCTAAACCTTTGGCCTTGAGCTAATTAAGAAAAAATATACTCCAAATTGCTATTTCCAAAAACACCTTGTTCATTTGTCAAAGTTACCCATGTAATTTTTCTAAACCCGCACAGTAATTATAAATCACTGCATTTAACTCCTCTTCATTATCCTCAGAAAATCAATATCAATTCATTTAAAATGATTCAGATTATAATAAACTTGCTATTGCACTGACTTCTCCAAATGCGTTGCCCATGGAGTATATCGAACATTTTTTTTTTTTTTTTGCCTACAGTCCATCCCTTTCTTACCTATATCGCCTTCTTTTACCATCCCAAAGTTCTTGGCAGGACACTTTTTCGAATAGATAGCGACTGTATTATTTCCACCCAGCTAGTCTGCGTGTCTCACACTGTTAACTACACTCCAGGCAGCACTGACTTTTAAAAATGTTTTCCTATGTACGAAACAATAATAATCTGACATACTTGTCGCAAACCCCCTGAATATGGAGCGCAACTCAAAATGAAAACCAAAGTCAAATATATTTTTAAAGAATTTAATGTAGGCAAAATCATGTGGAAATTATTTGGAGGGGATATAAATTGATCAGGGATGGAAATTATGAGGCACTCATTCTGATGGTTTGGGGCCAATGAAAAGGAAAGCTTAGAAAAACGTCTAGGTGTGGAACATTAATTATAAAACACAGAAGTCTTCACTTTTGTTCGCTTGGTAGGAAAGCCTCATCTCTCTCTCTCTTTTCTCCTCTGTCTTTTAAAGAAAGAGGATCCTAAATTCCTTTTGACTGATAGGAAGTTACAAGACAAGATGCAATTTTCTCTTTCTTTTCTGACAACTCTGTCATCCCAGGGATCATAGTCATGTCAGGGTGTCTGTCTCTGGGAAAAAAAAAAAAAATCACTGATGCCTATGGCCATCTTTGCATCAAAATTTTCCAGACCTCTATTTTTCATTGTGATCTCACTGATCTGAGTTTGAAATGCGAACGCAGTAAAGCCCCTAAGCCTTCAATCGTGTGGAATTTTCAAAAGATCTCTAGAAGCAATCTCAGGCTGTCTGACCCCTGACAGACGTAGATCCCTTTATACCTCTCTCTGCCAGCACTTCATTTGCTGGAATAGCTTTCAGATTTGCACCTCCAGATGACAACCTGAGTGTTTATTATGTATATGAATCCGAAATCTTCACTACATTACAAAGGAGGCTTCTTAAACATGATATTTAATTTCAGATCATAATTACCTGAGCTTTTTTTGCTTCTAATTATCGATTCCACCTTCCTCTCTGTGTCATGTTGATAGTTTGTTTATTCTCCCTTTTAATCAGTCTTTACAAAAATCGTATTACTTGATTCCACAGGGGAATTAAACATGTCACACCGGACACACATCATGACTATGTGGAGATATACACTGGACTCCCATCATGTGGCGATGTATAGTTATAACTATATCTTATTTGCTCTTTATTGCTAGCTAGCTGTGTGTGTGTGTGCTTTGGAAACAGTACAATCCAATAACTGTTACTGCCATTGCAATCCCAGTGGTTAGTATACTTCATCTCTTATTAATCTATAACAGGCCATTTACAGCGGTGTTTAAGTTCTGTCTTGTGACGTAATAAATTGCCATTTGGTATGAACCAGAGAAGCTCAAAGCCTTTATATTTTCCTTGCAAACTTCGCTAACTTTCTAGAATCCCAGGTGTCAGTCCCTTCCCATTCACCTGTTTAACTGAACATTCTACCGCGCCTAGATTGTTTATCTTTCAAAAGAGATGGATGTGGTAACTCTGGACCCTGGCATTTAATTTATCAGTCGAAATGCTGTATCTCAAACATCAGGATCGTTGTCATTCAGAATGTTAGGTTTATTTTAACTGACCTGGTTAGGTGAGAGTTCTAATTGGAAGTAACGATCACAAATTCTATTTTCAGTTTTAAAATCCGAAAGTGGTGAAATGTTTAAGATCTTACAAAGTAGGTGCTGTCCAAGTGTGTACATGCCTCTCCAACGCAGCCCTGCCCTCCAAACTTCTAGGCACATGCGACATAGGGGTCTATTTAAATGGTAATCTTTAAATATTTGCAAAGGTGTCTTTTATGTGGCAGATATTTTTATAGATTTCACATTACTTTCCCCCCTCCCTTTGGACATAGGTTCGTTCTGTTGCTACGATTAACTTATGAAAATAACTCATCATTAGTTTAATTTGCTTAGCAAACGCCTGCCTGTGTGTTCACATGTTTCTGTATTTATCCATTTTTTCCCATAAAACTTGTATTAAAACAAAATGTTACTTTTCTTTCTCTCAGGAGCTGTATATACATAGACCCTCCCTTTTTGAAATAGACCGCAGGGACTGTCATTAGATCAGATGGCAAGCCTTTATAGAAAGTGTTTTGCATAATTACATACCAAAGCCAGAATAGTCACCCTCACATTTTATGGGTCACAAACCATCAACAATTGGCACATTATTGTCCAAGAAACCCCAGTCCATTCACTGATAGAGAAAACTAGACTGCCTAATCTAGAACTGAAGAAGATTGAAATTTCTTCTAATAAGAACCCAGAGAAGATTATTTTCAAACTGACAACGTGTTTACATATAGTTATAAAGTTCAGAGGACCGATGAGGAGAGAGAAAGGGTAAAACCACTAAACATGATTAAGAATTGCACAGTGGCCTAATATAGATGGTTCATCAAAAAGGAACAGACTGAAAAGCCCCCCCACAACCCTCTCCTTTTCAGATCTGTTCCCTTTTCTACCGTTGTGATTCAGTAATTAAGATATTCTTATTTAGACAGACAGCTCCTCTGGTAACTGAATAATATTAGTTCCCTTTGATGTCAAACTTTTGACAGTTATCACACTCGCGTTGGGCAATTTAGCACAAATGCCCTCTTTTCTTTCTTTTTCTTTTTTTAAGGGGGGGGGAAGACTTTGAAGAAAAGTAATAAGTGTGATCGCTATCAGCAAATGATGGAAATCGCAGTGGACAGCCATCCCTGGGTATAAATTACATTTTGTTCTATATAATGAAGCAGAGTTTTGTTTTTACCTCATTGGGCTATCATTGTCCAAAATTAGGGCAATAATCCCACTCACTTCACACCAATTCACCACTCTCTCCCCCAGATCTCCCGCCACCACCACCGGGTAAAGGGGAGATTTTCCATTCCCTTCCCCCCTCCAACCCACCCAGCCAGTAAACCTGCGAAGCCATCAGGAATCGCCCTACTACAAAATAAAGTAACAGCTGAACGCTGAGTAGGGCTGATGACTCAGGGAGGGTGTTTCACCTGAGTCTGGATTGACATAAATCCACTCTTGTGGACGCCAGAACTTTGGATCTGCCAGATGGCAGGATGATGAACCACGTCTGTTGTATGATATTAATAAAAAAAACGTACATATGAACACGTTGCTTTTTTTGACCCCCGGTTGGCTTTATTTCGAAGGAGCGTGGTGACGTCTTCTCCCAAACCGCCTCTAAATCAGTTACCTGTTCTCTCGAGGGGGTGAGCTTTCAGTCTAGCAAGCACAGCAGCATCCCAGAGCCTGCGTCAGGAAGAGCATCTCTCTCCTAGGGGCTTCTTGTCTCTTTCAGAGGGAGTATATGAGGATGCGGGACCTTCCTGGTAACTTTGGGGAATGCTCTTTAACCCTGGCCCTGGCATTGCCCACCACCCCAGAGGAAAATTCGGAAGAGCTCGATTTAGGAGGGACACGTGAAAACTCCGGTGCAACGTGGTAACATGATCCGGGAGTAGGGGAAATAACTTGTGGTTGGTTCCCCCCCCCATTCCCCCCCGACTCTTTCAGCAAAACTTTGTCTGGGGGATGAGGGCGTGGGGGGGGGGGAAGAGAAGTCAAACTCTCGCAGGTTTCTCGCGAGATCCAAGCAATTAAGAAAAGAAAAAAAAACAGCCCTTTGCTTTCAGCTCCCATTCCCACACTGTGTCTAGATGTACATGGAAATCAATAAAACAACCTTAATGATTTTTATAATCTAATTATCCCCTGAACTGTGAGTTTTTTAGGGGGTGGGCAGGCATCGGTCAGGCCACTTTGGAAGGCAAGAATGCCTTCGGTTTCGTGGACTGGCATTCTTTCATAAGTCAAAAGAATTGATGTGACCCTTCCCGCACGCCAATACAACCTCCCCGTTTGGTGGCTTGCTGGAAGTGAAAGTCTTCCTTTAAACACTTGCCCACCGGCTTTGGAGTGAGAAAATACTGAAGGCAAAGAAAACACCCCTCATCTCCCCCCCAGCCCCAGTGTATTTCCATCAAACAAACAACCCAATACTCTGTGTGTGTGTTTCTGTGTGTGTGAACTACTTACCTACACAGTTCTCATTGATACCTACCAAGCACTGTCTTTTTTAGCTTCCCAATGACGAGTCTCATTAACAGCGGTAAGGCTCGGACTAATTAATTTAAATGCTTTTGGTAACATTATAGGAAGAGAGAATAGTTTATGTCCACAAATGGGTTATATTATTTTCGGGCTCGCCTTATCACACCACTCCACGTGCCATCAAAGGAAGGATCTCTCTCTGTCTGTGGGTGTGTCCCCGCGGTACCACCTCCATCAGGCTTTCCTGGAAACTTTTGCCCAAAAGGGCACAGGGCTATGTAACATTTTCCGAGGATTTGCATTACACCTTCACTCAACGGTAACAGGTTAATACAGTGGAAGTTCTCCTTCCCCCTTCTTGAACCCACTCAGATGGCCAACCTCAAAATCCGGTTGCGTACTCCAACTAAAAATTAGATTTTAATTTGGCGGGGCAGAGAAATAAAGGGGACTTCTTGACGATTGGTTGCTTTTTCTCGTTAAGATCTTAAAATAAATCTTCGCCTTTCCTCTCCCCTTCAGCCGGGAGAAGATGTAATAGAATAAAGCCAAACGGTTCGAATCACCATAAAGTATTTGCAAACTGAAGCTCTCATTTCTGTCCCTACTTGTTATGGAGGGTTGGGGAGATATCTTAAAACCCTTCAAAGCTTTTGGGCTTGCATCTCACAGGGCTGTGTTGTAATGGGGTTTGACAGCTTTCTCAAACAGCTCTGAGACTGCGTCCAAAATTAAAGTGAGGACCATCCGCCGACCACTTATTTAAAGATTATCCAATAATTCATTTGCAGACTTCCCATGGAAATTTTTCAGAGTAGCAGCCGTGTTAGACTGTATTCGCAAAAAGAAAAGGAGGACTTGTGTCACCTTAGAGACTAACCAATTTATTTGAGCATAAGCTTTCCTGAGCTACAGCTCACTTCATCGGATGCATTCAGTGTAATGCATCAGATGAAGTGAGCTGTAGCTCACGAAAGCTTATGCTCAGATAAATTGGTTAGTCTCTAAGGTGACACAAGTCCTCCTTTTCTTCATGGAAAGTTTGCAGATCAAAATTCGGATTCCCTATGAGGTGCTTGGGCATACAGAATATGTGTTTCTGTCCATCGGCGTGTGGTCACGATGTGAATTCCCATTTAACAGTTAATACCTCAGCCATTTTCATAACACCATTGCAATTGATCAAGGGGAAAGGGAAGCAGCAATCATATGCACAGTAAAGAAAATACTATATTAGAAAGAAAAGGCAGAGTACAGAGTGGTGACATAACAATGGATCATCACTCTGATAGAACTATGCAAGAGATTCCATTCACATGTTTATAGTTGGATTCCTGGGGGGGGGGGGGAAATGTGGAGAAAATATCCTCAAATACTTGCAACAGGTATGGGGATATTGTACCTGTCTCCAAAGGTCCTAGCAAAAGAAAGAGGCTATTTTTGAAAGCTTCCTATACAGGGATCAATTGTTTTAAAAGTGGGTGGGTGGGTGGGGAAATGCATTTTCCTCAGAATATTTCAAGGAGAAAGCAACTTGTGAGGGGCAATGTAATAGACGGGTTCAGTTGGGAGAGATAATGTAGTCAGCTGGGTAAAGTCAAATGAAGTTCTTCCGTGGTAAAAAGAAAAATGAAAAGCATTAAAATGGGTCACCTTTAAAGTATTAGGCAAACTTCTCCTGGGTTCTCTGTTCCTAGTTTTCTCTAGAAGTAAGAACGCCCAGACATGCATAAAATCGATAACAATCGATAGAAGAATCCCAAGCAAAAATGCATTTCACATTATAGACATTTATTCATGTTTAACAGCTGCATTTCATAAACACTGCCTTAGTAACAATATGGTACAGCTTACAGACAGAGAGAAAGGCACATTTCTCTACACACAAATGTATTTAAGGATCTGAGATTATATTACACTGTTTAAAAATGAAAAAAAAAAACGCGGGAAGGGTAAGAGTGATAAGGAATGGATGTAAATCCATTGACTTTTCTTATCTTTTCTTTAAAAAAGGACAGAAAATACATCATATAACTGCATGACATACTGAACATCAGTTCAATTATTTCCCCCTATAACTCATTTCTAAAATCATTTTACACATTGGATTTAACAACCGTAAAACACAACAAAATACTGGAAATATCTGAATATCTGTGTTTTCAGTTAGCAAAGGAAGTTTTGTGTGTTTGCTTCTTTTAATCCCGGAATGTGACACTTAGAATGGACAGCTCGCATTTTTCATAATAGGGTCTGTTTTGCTTAAAACAGGGTGAAATATGATTACAGAATAGCACAGGGTGGATCTGCAAAAGGAACCTATCGGCAAATGTGATCACAACACAGGATCCATTCTAACGTAGTATTAATTGCTTTCTTTGCAATATTTTTAGGGTTGCGTACGATCCCATCAACGGAGGTGAAGAATCGCAGAATATATCCCGGGTTCGAACACACCGTCAGTTGCTACAATGAAAGACTCTCTTTGCTACACCTGAGAATATGTTCCCTTAAAAGAATCGTCCTTTTTCTTAGACTTTTTAAACGTGACGTACGAATAGTCTGGTAACAGGTTAATCAGATCAGAGATACGCAATGGCCCACATTTATTTTGAAAATGTTACTAAGTGCGTGTCTTACAGAGGTGGAATGATTAGTCAGATCAGATTGGCCTTACGACATATATAAACCAGGCAATAGCTGCTTTCAAAGGCCTCTAAAAATCAAAGAGAAAATATAAACGTTCCTCCATTTCTCAGCTTTACACAGTGGACCACAAAAATACGTATTTTCCTCCGAGGATCCGTAATAAAAGCAGTGGAAACGAGACTGGTTTCCTCTGTATTAACTACTAGTTAAACTGGCAAATAATATTGTTCATTCATCTTTTTCAACGTTGATTTATAGCAATCGACAGGTTAAAGCGTCATCTGACTTCATTGCTTTTAAAAGCTGTCTATTTCAGAACTGTCACTTTTCATCACTGAAACCAAATAAAACACTTGAAGAAATGAATTGAGAAAGACTTTTAGATCATGTTTATAATTCTTTGTCTGGACGTTAACATTCCTAATGACCTGACCTGCTTTAGTTACCTCTACGTCTAATGTTAGGAGTAAAATAAAATCACCAGTTCAGGCTGCAAAAGTTACAGAAAAGGGAGAAAGTGTGAGGAAAACAGAGGGAAAGCAGTGCACAGACCAAACACACACAATTATAAGGCAGCATGTGTAATATACACATGTGGTTCACGCACACACAAAGGCTTAGCTATGCGTAACTTTTTTCCTCTGTTTAAAATGTGCAATGAAACAAACAAGCATGGCTTTAATATATGTTTACTCCAGTGATATTTTCCTTGCATTATTAGGACATTCATGTTAACTGACTGTGGAACTAAAAATTTTGAAAGCGTGTTAAACAATATTGTAAATATTCTACTGCAAAGGACATACACATAAAGATAACCTATCTTTACTGGTTTAGATCTGCCAAAAATATAAACAAACAGATACATTAGAGAGAAATTCGGAATAAGAAGACTAATCAGATAATACAGAAACTTAGCTGACCACATTAAAATAGTTTAGTTTTGTGTGTACATGAGATCATTGGACTGTATATTTGCATGGCTTTTCATTTTATTTTTTAAAAGCGCATCTTATCTTCAAGCTATTATATTTTGCATATGTATATTAATATAAATGCGCCCAATCTGAAATGGCAGGAATGCAGTTTTTGGAAAAATAGCAATAACTCAGAAATGAATTTCTACCAAAATATAGAGATTACTTGGCTTGATTTTTTTTCTGTCTTTGAAATAATAGTCAACAATGCAAAAATAAAAAATAGATTTCGAACTTCGTTCAAATAAGTGGAAACATAAATTTGCATTTAACTAGCTAAAAATAGGAGCCTATGTTGCTTTGGTTTTGGTTTCAGTCCATCACTATATAGATACAGATATACACATCCACATAACACCGCTTTAATAAGCAACACTTCAGTTCCCAATTAGTAATACAGTGTCATTCCAATATCAGTAATCGATTTTAATGTCTAGATTGCAATGGACCAAATATTGCAAATGTTAACTGGGTATTTATGAGCTATATAAGGCTGAAATATTTCTAGAGGCAAATTCTTAGCAACACACTTTACTGTGATTTGTTCTAACTATTGAATATTGATAGCCTCAACTTGCTGGGCTTTACTGGTATAAGACTGTTTTAACATTTGTTTGATTTATTATGGCTTTTCTTTTGAAATGCCTAGTTTAATTGTATTTTCTTCTACAAACTCCATTACCACTGCAAAAGTCGTGCTAATGGGCTTCTGTATAATTCAGCCGCACTTCCGTACCTTAGAGCGCCACCGTGCTGCTTAAACTAGATCTGC